GAAAAGCCAACAAAGTCAGCTCCTCGAATCTGAAAATCTGCCCGAGATTTGCAATAATTTTTTGGTAACTTTCGACCACCAAGACCGTCGGATTTTGATACCATTAGAAATTCCACAATGTCCTCTTCGATAACCACCCAAAATCTCCCCATAAGTCCAAAGGAATGAGGAGGAATAAGCCCACAAAGTCAGCTCCTCAATATGGGCAGATTTTTCTGATATAGGGGAGCTGATTTTGTGGGTTTATTCTGACCGAATTCTTTTGAGTTATAGGGAGATTTTGGATGGTAATTGAAGAGGACATTGTGGGCTTTCAACAGTGTCCAAATCTGGTGGTTTTGGTAGTCGAAAGTTGCTAAAAAATTGCCGCAAATCTTGCCCAAAAATCTAAAAAATCTGGGCAGATTTTCAGATTTCGAGGAGCGAAATTTGTAGGCTTATTTCGATCGAATCTTTTGGAGTTACTGGGACATTATGGATAGTAATTGAAAAGGACATTGTGAACTTTTCAATGGCATCCAAATTTGACGGTCTTGGTAGTCGAAAGTTGCCAAAGAATTGCCGCAAACCTCGTCCAAAAATCTGAAAAATTTGGGTGATCGTTTCTACAAGTTTGTAAACTTCAGTGACCGTTTTTTAAAGCGTTCTAAACTTTAGTGACCATTTCTGCAAGTTTTAAACTTTAGTGACCGTATTATAATTTTTAGGTTAGTTTAATGACTATTTGTGAAATTAACCCAATAAAAAATGACGTCCATTTATCATTACATTGAAATTTTCATGAGAAAAAATAACAAAATAAATATGCTTCAATTCCTTTTTGTTTCTTCTAAAGTAACTTCGGTACACTCCCGAGGGAAATAAATAAAATTTTTAAAACAAATTCATTTTGTTGAAATATTTTTATTTTTTCAAAATCAAACTAGTGTAATATCAAAACCTTAACTATGGAGTCCATCTTTTCTTTGGTAGATCCTCAAAACCAAAATAGTGTGAATCCTACGTAAAATAAGTACATCTAATTTTAGAGTACATTTGCAGTATAATTTCAAGTGTAGAATACATTCAATGGTCAAGATGAATTTGACAACTTAACTATATAATAAGAATATATTAGTCTAGAAATTACTACCACTACTTTTGCTACTGCTACTGCTGTTGTTGCTATTGCTGCTACTACTACTAATTGTCTATTTCAATTGAAATGAAATAATTTAAAGTAAGACGCATCATTGTTGCCTTCAAGCATTCTTGGAAGTTGAAAATTGGAACATCGAGAGCCAAGTGAACTCTAAGGATCGAGTAAAAGCAATGAAGTTGGGCAAGTTAAATCACCATTGTTCTCTTGAATGTGTTCTCATAACGCAAGGCAGTTATCATAGGGAAATACATCAAAATAGTCTAAATAAAAGGAGGATTTTCCAAATTAGACTAAGAAATAAAAACATTTCCAAAATAACCTT